CACATTCAGGATCCAACTCAATTGCAGAATGAGGTTATCACTTTGCTAAAGCATACCAATTGAAGAATCCTACCCAATTGCTTAATCTATTTTTTTATTTGATAAATTAATTCATTCATTTTAAATGTGTATTTTCTAATAAATTTACTTCTTTTTTAATGATTTAAATATAAATTTTACATATTATTTTTATTGGAGTTTAAAAGGGAAAAGTAATTTACTTTAATATTACTTACTATACCGACATAAATACTTTAGTCATGTGATCGAAATAGATAATTCAAAATCATTATTTAAAAAAAACCTGAATGTAAAGTTCATTTCTTCTTTTTAACAATGAAAAATCATTATTGAAATAAAACTAAATGAAACTTGCAGCTGAATTAATGATTAAACGTGATTTTATTTAGCAATATTCTCTTATCAATGCATGGAAACACAGCCTTTATTTTTTTTTTGGTTGATTACTCGATTGGTTAACATACCTAATAGTGTCGATGAACTTAACTTATTGTATCATCTAAAAGAAATATGCCGTTGCTTTTGCTTCATTTACACTGTTTTTCTTTTGGTTGTTTCATTCGCAATTCTCCTAATCCTAATGACGGACGGGTAAAAAGGTTGCATCTCTTCCATAGTCGTTTTAAGGGAGCATCAGTAGTTGTGATGCGAATATTCTATTGTCAAGAATTTTTAATAAATTGGCATTTTTCGGTTTATAGTTTTATTTTGATAAATATTCCGATTTTTATTAGGAAATATTTTTTTTTATTTTATTAGAATTTCAAATTTATGCATCCAAGTATAATAATTAAAATCACGAATGGTTGAACACGTTCAAAACCACTTTTGGGGGAGATTTCATTTCGATAATCTTTTTCTTTAATTTATGTATTGTAAATCATATTATAAAGGTTTACTTCACATGAATTTAAACATTTTATGAGGATAACATACAATTACTTCTTTTTCAAGTTTTCTCAATAAATTTAGATACCTGAAAATGAATATAAGGCGAATTTATATTGATAATATTTACTAAATTTCCATATTCCCAACCAAAATTCGACATTTAACGTCGATAGAATGATTACTACAAAATTGGTCCCTTTGTAGGCATCCTCCCTTATGTGAACATACCAATACGCATATATTTTCTTTGTTCAAGTTATTGAGTGACTTTATTAAAAATTAAGCAGATATTCATTATTAGCATAATTATTTCGTAGAAAATAAGGATTAAAATAAATACTTACACTCATTCGCCAGCATCCTCATACAAGGACCTAGATTAATCATACTAAAATACATTCATCGGACTCAATCTAATTACCAGGTCTCAAAATTCTGAATGTCTCTGGTAATACAATCAGTTGTACGGAAAAATGTCGACATTAGACGTATACTAAGAAGTCAAACGATTCATCTTCTTACGTGCCGGCGCGGAAATGTTTCTCTGCAACGACTATCGAATAAATAAAATGGTTCGATTGACTATTAAAATAACTATTGTTAATTCATCTGGCAGCATACTAGAAGCAAAAGATTATTTTTTTTTTATTTTCTTCTATATTCGGCAAGGGATATCGAAATTTATACTTATATTATGTTTTGATGCTGACGATAATTGTTTTGAAAATAGAAAAAAAAAAATAATCAAACAAAATAGGATCATTACCGGGGGGGACAAAAATATTGCACGGCTTAAAAATAAAAATTTAAATAAATTTTTTATAAGTTACTAGCCATGT